ATTTATTACTAAACTATAGAAACTGAGTACCTTGTTGGGAAGAATACATCGAACTCGAACAGGCCGTTGGCGTAAGGTGTATCGTCTGGACCAGAAATCAACACCTAACAAGCACACGCTTTTCTGAACGTTATCGTGAACGAAAACTAGGTAAGCGACACATACCTTAATGATATCGCACCTTCCTTCGTCAACGCAAATAAAAATACTGTTACTTGCATTCAGGGGAAGAGCGTTAGGCATCGACGCCAACTCCTTTGCGATCCGCTTTGTTCTTTCACGCAATGACGGGGAAAAGGGATTAGTGTTCCGAATATCCTTTTTGAAGGTGAAAGGAATCACAAGTTTTCCATAATCTCCAATGAATCTGCAATAAAAATACTCTGCCATTCACATACTATCCTATCAAAAACAACATGTACGAATTTATGGCGACGTGTGGAAGTCACGCAAATTCGCCTTTTTTTGCTGGATGAACCGTTTTTGCCCTTTGGCAATATCAACCTCAAGGCAACAACAAATTCTGCAACAAATTGGATGTTTATGAAGACGAAATTGGCCTACTAGAGCAGTAGACTATGCTCCCATGGAACCGATAAGGGGTGCCTTTGCGGCAAATGGCATGCCCGTTACCCGAGCTAGCCACCCCCCAGGAATTCGAACGATTGAACAGAAGCGTGCTCGACGTGGCACTGCTATCACCAGCGACCCCTTCTCGTTTTAGTGAGAACTCATATGGAGCGGGAGTATCTTGTACTTTGTCAGTGCAATGCGTTGAAGGAGTGTTAGACGTTAGTGTAAAAGCATGATGTTTATCTCAAGGTATTCTGCTTGATCAGAGGCTCCTCCTAAACGGAATTTAGGGTCTCTAGTGGAGGTGCCATTTTGCGCGCTCAAGGACGTTTTTCGTGTGTTTTTTACTGCATCATTACCATTCGAAGGGGACTGTCTGCACTACAAAGTACTTGTTTTGCCTCCTCATTTTTCGACAGAGTTTCCAGGTTTATGCTCCCCCAAGTGTGAGGTGCAGCCGACGAAAATTAGCCCAAACAACATTTTGCTCTAAGTATTTTCCCTTAGGAAACGTAAATCAATGATGTACCCCCCCCCACTTATTCATGACCTATTTTGAACAGTTCACTGTTAGGTTGTCGGAAAAGCTTTGCCGTACTTCTTTTCGAATTTGGTTTTTCTGGTTGACCAAGTCATGGCGATT